TTTTGAAAGTCCTTTATGTTGATTACTTTTGCTATGTTCTGGACTATAAGAAACAATTTTGAGAAATAATATTATACCAAATCGATGGCAATAAGACGTCTTCAGGCTTTAAAAATTGGCCATGAGCACAGGAATTTTTCTTCAACTTGTGGAAACTTCGTAAAACTTCAAAAAGAAGTTCAGGGAAGATCGTAGAAATTAAGTAAACTTGGTAGATATTCTGGGAAATTCAAAGACCTTCAGAAAAATTCGTAGAAAAAAGGAACTTCGAAAAGTTTTGAAAACTGCATAGAAGTAGAGAATTCATTTAAATTTGAGGAGCTTCGTAGAAGTTAAAGGAACATTATTTTATTTTTGGGAAGGTCATTATTGACCGGGAACCCCTAAATAATTTCAGTTTTTTTTAGCCTCATGGACTTGGAATAGTTGTGGAAATTCAACAGCAAACTTTGTAGAAGATTTTCGAATTTCGTAGCATTTTGGGGAGCTGTGTAAAACTTCATAATAAGTGTAAGGAATTTTGAAAAAGTTCAGGGTATTTTTTTAAAAGATCTAAAAATAGTTCAATAAACTTCTAAGAACTTCAGGGATCTGCACCTCAGTTTAGGGAACTTCGTTGCAGTTTTTCAGAGATCTTACTCCAAAGAAGCTCCATGAACTTCTTGGAGGTTTTGGGAACTTCGCTAAATTCAAGGAACTTTCTAGGTGTTCAAGAATATTTGTAGATGTCTTAGGTGTCTTTCCAGAAGTGCAAAGATGTTCAGAGATCTTTGTAGAATTTAAAGAAATGGAAAAAAATATGGAATGTGGAATAAATTCAGGGAACTTTGTAGAAGTTGAGGAAATTTTGAAATACCTAAGTTTTGTAGATGTTCAGGAAACGTTGCATAAGTAACAGGATATGCTTTCAAATATCCTTCCTAGACATCAGGAAATATTCGAAAGATCTCCATATAGTCCAGCATATTAGTAAAGTTCACTGGATATTTGGTAGGTTGTAGATTGACCAGGAAGTATTTAAAAGTTTTCCAGCTAATGGAATCAGATCGAATCTTGAATGATGAATCTTGATTGTATGGCCATATTTGTACATTCTCTATAGGGAAGACCCGTGCCTTGGTGTTTTAGCTATATTGTTACAAATTTGCACTCCAGCAGCAAAATTCTGGGCAGAAATTTCAATTTCTGCATATACCTTTTTTTTTTAATATCCTTTTTTATTAGTAACAAAATCTTGAAAACATATGGGTTTGGGATCACAAAACTATTTTTATTTTAACATTAACATTGTTAAGGATTGTACATCTGCAGCATATGCATGTATGTAATTAGTGGATGTGTTAGTTATTTCGACGCTTTTTAACAATTCTTGACATTTCCCAGTTTTTAAATAATTTCTTGTTGAAAATCAACGTGGAATTATTTCTGATCGATTGGCGCTAAAATTATTGAAATTGGTCCAGGAGCAGCTGAGTTATGAACGTTCAAAGTCTTTCATAATTTCGTTACATGTTCCATTTTCAGTTTTCACAAAGTGTACCCCCATATAGAAATCACTGACGTAGTCCTACGTCGAAAAATTGTGCATCTTGAACATTTTCCTACGTCCTAAATGTATTAAATTTTATTCTGTGTGCACTTTACCTTGAAACAGCCAGAATTTTATAAAATTATAAAATTCAAACTACTAGAATTTAATTTTGGTTCCTATGTCTGAGATTTGACTGATCAATAAAAAAAATCTAGTTACAAAATTCATGAAATTACCTCACCCTGAGAATTTTCTTAAGTTTGAGATGCTTACATTTATAAGATCCGGACTGTGATTTTATTACAAAAAACATGAACAAACGATTATTGCTTGTTCAAAGGTCACAATCGTTGTTATGGAATAAATATAATCAAATTTATTGTTTCACCATTAAATAATAGTTAGCCTCAATGTCATATTATTGATCACAGAAAAAAATGTGCAGCAGGCCCCCCTTCGGCCCCCTCCAGATAAATTTTCTAGCTACGCCAATGCACATCAGTGAACATACCGTCAATCTAGCTCTTCAAAGGTTGAAACTCTCGTTTGCTGCCGGGCCAGATGGCATTCCTGCGTCCGTTCTGAAACTGTGTTCGGAGTCGTTGCTCACTCCGTTGGTGAAGTTACAGGAGAGTAAATTTCCTGAGGCGTGGAAATTTTCGTATATGTTCCCCGTCCACATTGAAAGGCGATAAAAGGAATGTCCAGAATTTCAGAGGAATCACATCACTATGTTGCTGCAAAGTACTCAAGATCATCATCAATGAGGCGCTCTTCAGCTCTTGTAAAAATTACATCTCCACGGCTCAGCATGGATTCTACCCAAAACGGCCAGTTACAATCAATTTGACCGAATTCGTGTCGCTCTGCGTTCGGACAATGGACTCTGGCGGACAAATCAACGCGGTTTACACTGATCTCAAGGCTGCATTTGACCGAGTAGACCTCAACATTCTTTTGAGCAAGCTTGAGAAACTCGGAGTGTCTGGATCCTTCATCTCGTGGTTCATATCTTACCTTACGAACCGTTCGCTTTGCGTTAAGATTGGAGCTTCTCGTTCTGAAGTGTTCACAAACGTTTCCGGCGTTCCCCAAGGAAGTAATCTGGGACCAGTGATGCAAAATATCATGACACTCACGTGACACTCGTCTTCGCACCAACCGACCATCGCTGACAGATCGTTTTGTCACGCAGTGAGAGTTAGAGCCATGGCAAACAACAATCACCAGAAATGGTCGCTGCTCACAAGCAAAACGCTACACTCGCTGCTGATTATGAAAAGCACAACGAAAACAGTGAAGACTTCTGCAGTACGATCATGAGAAAAAGCGAAACGACAGAAGAAAATGAAAACAATGCCTACGCATTCCAAGTTCGTCTCGGCAGGCGCGACTGTGTGAGTTACAAACAAAGCAGGCAACATGAAACGGAAGCTGTTGGGTTCACTCACCAACACACTCAAATAAGCAAGTAAAGCAGGAACTGCTTCAAAACGAGCACAGATGAGTGTCGTGATTGTCGGGAATGACCAGATCAGTGATGGATCACAACAGAAGACGACATTCACCAGTTGCTTTTTACTTCTTTCATCAACTTGATGGATGGTCATGGAGAGAGCTTCGACGAGCACATTGATAGGAATGTACAAAGCGTTACTACCATCAGCTGTTTGGCGATCGTGATTGTGATAGGTCGCAACTCTGTCTGGGACTGGGACCCCTTCTGTTTTCTCTTTTTGTCAACGAGCTTTCGTGTCTACTGCCACCTGGATGCCGGCTATTCTACGCTGACGATGTCAAAATGTATCGCTGATTGTGAGGAGTTGCAGCTGATTGTGAATCGTATGCAAAGCTGGTGCTCCCGTAATTTCATGACGCTCAGGATCAACAAGTTCAATGTGATATCATTTCACCGCAAACAAAACCCGATAATATTTGATTATTCCATTTCCGGGCAAACATGAGAGAGGATTAGTCAGGTTAAAGATTTGGGAGTAAAACTCGACTGTGAATTGACATTCAAACCACACTACAATGACATCCTGACTAAAGCTAACAGGCAGCTTGGGTTTAGACAGGGCAAGACAATTGATCAAGTCAGTTGAATTCAACTGACTTGAACGCGAATTGAACGTGTAAACCATGTCATTCAACCGACTTGATCAACTCACTTGAATTGAAAAAAATTAAACCAGGCTCAAATTTTCAAGCCAATTGAATTCAACTGAGTTGATCATTTGACTTGCCTAGTCTAAATCCAGCATTATGCTCAAAATATCTGAAGACTTTCGCGATCCGCTTTGCCTGCGGGCGCTGTATTGTTCGTTAGTACGTACAATCTTAAGCTGGGTTTAGACAGGACAAGTCAATTGATCAAGTCAGTTGAATTCAACTGACTTGAACGCGAATTGAACGTGTAAAAAATTTGAATTGAAAAAAGTTGAACCAGGCTCAACTTTTCAAGCAAATTGAATTCAACTGAGTTGATCAAGTGACTTGCCTAGTCTAAACCCAGCTTTAGAGTATAGTGCTGTATTGTTCGTTAGTACGTTCAATCTTAGTGTATAGTGCTGTCGTCTGGTGCACCAAGTATGTGGGATAGCCAGATTTGAGAGAGTACAGAGGAAGTTTGTTCGCTACGCGCTTCGTCATCTGCCTTGGCGTGACACGGCTAACTTGCCGTCTTACGTGGATTGCTGTCATCTGCTTGGAACTGACACCTTGGAACAAAGAAGACGAAACGCTCAAGCTGTGTTTTCTGCTAAGATCATTACCTGCGAGATTTATTCCCCCGAATTACTTCGACAGCTTTTCTTTTACGCACATGAGAGAGTGATTAGGCAGCGTAATTTTGTACATCTTGCAACTCGTAATCAGCAATATGGGTTGAATGAACCTATCCAAGCCGTCCCTAATGCGTTTAATGACGTCTATGCATTGTTTGACTTTAATGTGCCGTTAACTGTTTTTACTAGACTGTCCTGAATTAGAACGTGTCCTGTTGTTGTTTTAATTATACTTTTTTTTAATTAATTTAGGCAACCATATGTCAGATGAATCATTGGAACAATAAATAAATATAGAATCTTCAAAGATCTTCAAAGAATCCATCAAGAATACGTACAAATTGAGCATGTTTGAAAAAAGTTAGAGCCTCTAGAGTTACCGAAGAGTCCATCAATTTGACCTTTACCGATCGATTGGTCTAGTTTCATAACTAAACTACTGAATGAATACAAAAACAATTGAGAACCTCGTGCAAAAAGTAGACTGGTTTCAGCGAGAATTGCTCAAATCAAAACTCATCCATGAAAACAATCAGCAGCATTTGGAAACGATAGTCTGTTCTATAAGACGTTTGTTATGATATACCGCCATTTTCTGAAACGCTTAGTCTAGAAAATTATTAACCAAATCTACCTTCCGAACAATGCATCTAACTATACACCCTTTCCCTTATCTTTTGCAGACTGTTTTGCTACTCACGAATCGCTGGAAATGCTCTCGAATGACAACCATCCATCACCCAGGTAAGATCCGAATCACAGAGCCTCTCACTTTCGTCTAACAAGCAAAATCAACTGCTCTTCGCAATTCGATTCAATTCGATTCCCTTCATTCGAAGCCATCATTGAATTAATTTTCGTTGATTGATACACTCGTCCGAAGCGAGCGCAGGCCCAACGAGTCGAGTAGTCCATTCCCCCCACCCCAGCCCGGCATCCGATGCAATATGTTGCCGATGCTGTTGAATTTTCTGCGCCGCCAAACAACGACGACGACAACAACAACAGCAACAACATGCAAGCATGTGCATTTTTCATCCCACATATCGAAGCCATAACGAGTGAATTGTACGATGCATCGTCCGCTCGAACGCCACCAAATGATGAATAGTGCACATTCCTTTCGGAACAATGAACCAAAATTATGCAGCTGATTCAATCCGAGGTGCTGTTTGGGCTGTACCTATAGCAAAACAAAAAATTAAATCGAAATAAAATATGAGATTTTGAAACGTGAGTGAAGCACCGCTGACGAATGGCCGTTGATTTGTTGCGATTTGCGACGGTGGAGCAGTTTTTTTTTGTTGGTTTCTGCTTCGGAAGGGTTTTAAATGATCGATTGCGATGTTGATGAAATTTACGGGATCGTTCGGCATGCTATGCAGTCCAGAAGGGAAAAAATCTGAAGGATTCAGTTGACTTACTAGTTTTCATGTTTTGACATTTTTATCATGATTTAATATTTGGATAGTTTTGCAGAATTGGCTGTGGAGAAATTGAGCAGTTCAAATACATTCTATTTATGACAGGGATCTCAAAAACAAAAATCTGATCTCTTTGATGTGTTCAAATGACAGCATATTTGATATTGAGACTATCCAAATCTTGATTTTTTTTTTAAGATTCGGCACTAAACTTCTACATGATGAATTTGTTTTTAACTTTTGTATTTCAATGTATCTTGGAATCAGTTATGCGTTCGCTAATGTAGTCATACTTTGAAGACGGCATCTTCTTCAACTTTGTATGGACTAGTGCATCACGCTAAAGGATTCGGTTTTAAGTAGTAATTGGCGATTTTGAAATGATTCTCGGAAGATCGATTTTTTGGTACGATTAATGAATCGAAATCGAAACACATCAACAAGGGCCAATGTGAAAGATTTCCATCCTGTAAAAGAATCACGCAAACCATACATTTATTACCTTCAATGTTAGTTGCATTACCTGTCATCATCTGCAGTGAATACCACAGAGAATGATATAGATTGGATTACGACTATATCACCAAGCTTCTTAATCATTACATCGTAGAACGACGCACACACTTGCATCGTTGCTCTCCAATTCTCGTTCAGCAGAAAAAGCATGCGAAATTAAATTATCGTACTTCGAGCACTTCTTATTGGCTTTTAGTCGATTCATTTTCCGAAGCATGGATAGAGCAGTGGAGAAGTCACAGGCCTGATAATCGCAACGTTCGTGGTTCGTGTCCAGTCGGCCAGCTAATTTTATTGCATTGGACCGCAGCTCGGTATATTTCATCCTCCGTTAATGCAGTCTCATCTATCGTCCTGCGATGCTGAATCCCACATAATTGTAAGCAAATCTTACATCTCCCGGTTGAGTGTTGTATTTCGGAAATTGATTTAAACATTTTATATTCCGAATTATCTATGATACTTAGCATATCCCATGCAGGAGAAAGTAACGTATGAATACCTAATTGTGTTCCTGATAACAAAATTTGGTGTTGATCAACCTGACACAAGAGGTAAAATACCAAAGAAACCAACCAACCATCGAAATTTTAAAATCATTCTTGACTCTACTAATCATCTGATCTCCCTGGATTAAATGCAGCATACTAAATATCACCTTCAAATTGTATCGTTTGGTGGTTCCATTCCATCTGTTACCTGATAGAAGCTTCATCCTTCATTCAGTAGACCAACAAGCGTTCTCCTTGTTTCCTGCACTCAGAAGCTAGAACTTGAAGAGCAACCATTTTTTCAGAAGTTTTTTTAGCTTTCCATAAAAATTGTTCGGAATCTTGAAAAATTTTCGGTGTCTAAATAACAATGATAATTCAATTTCAACATATCACAGGTTTTCTTTAGAATATTCTCCAAAAATTCCATACATACTTCTGAAATATTCTCGGGTTTCTCCCTAGAAAATTCGCAATTCACTCCTTGTCCGCAATAAATTTCCCAAGAATATGCTGAAGTTAATGTCTTTAAAATTTCTGTTTAAATTCCTTAAACATATAAAGGAAATGGCTCTAATGTTGGCTTATGAATCTAAGATTGGACCCATTGCTAAAAATCTGCTGTTTATCAATTTTATCTAGATGAACGCGTCATTGGGACGGTACTAAGGGATATTTTTGGTCGCTATTGAAAATTTAGTCGATTTTTTTTTTTTTTTTTTGTTAATTACTTTATTTGTACAGGCTCAATCGAATAAACTTTACAGAGCCAAGTTATCATTTTGTTTATACATTATAAATGTCTTAAATCTAAAATTAAAGGATTGGAACCGATTGCTCGCGGTCTTCTCGAGGTTAGTGGATGACAATTGTTTGGATCGGGAGAGGGAAAAGGAGATTTGGAATATGATTTATGATTCAAAAATTTCACTATTTCTAAAACATATACTTAATCTTATCGACGTTATATCAACTCTGTAATTATACAATTATTACAGAAACAAATCTACAAAAAAAAAAAACACACACACATACAAAACACAAACTAAACACAAGGTTAATCAAACTTACAATCTATGGTTAATATTCTTCAAGAAAACATATATGAGTTGCATAAACTCCAGATCGCGTCTAGCCAAAATATCCCGAACTGGAACATTAGGTTGTCTACCTCGAGCCCGAAGGGAATCGTACAACTCGGATCTGACTCCACGGTGCTCAGCACATGACCAAATAATGTGATCTGCGTCCTGGTAACCTTGTCCACATTCACAGAGATTGCTGTCTCCCAGCCCAACACGGAACAAGTGAGCGTTTAACGAGTAGTGATTGGACATGAGGCGAGACATCATACGAATGAAGTCTCGACCCACATCTAACCCCTTGAACCAAGGACACTTCGACACCTTAGGGATGATTGAATATAACCATCGTCCCAAACTCCCTTCACTCCATTTATTTTGCCAGCTGGCGAGTGACTGTTGACGATAAATGAAGAAAAATTCGTCGTAGGCGATTTGTCGATCGTAAATATCGCCTTCTATAGCGCCCACCTTTGCAAGCGAGTCCGCCTTCTCATTGCCCGGAATCGAGCAATGAGATGGGACCCATGCAAAGGTGATGACAAAAGATCTTAAAGATAAAGCACTTAGAATCTCTCGTATTTTCATGAGAAAATACGAGGAGTGCTTTACCGGCCTCATGGAGCGAATAGCCTCGATAGAACTGAGACTATCCGTAAAAATAAAATAATGATCTGGTGCAAGTGAGGCGATCGTTTCTAGCGTATAATGTATTGCCGCCAGCTCCGCAACATATACGGAACAAGGAGCATGAAGCATTCGAGAGGCGCTATGAAATTCGTTATAAATACCAAAACCAGCGGACGCCTCTATTAGTGATCCATCTGTAAAGAACGATCTTGCGGAATCAACTTGGCCAAACTTTGCAGCGAAAATTGACGGAGCAATCATGGAACGATGATGCTCTGGGATTCCGCGAATCTCTTGCGTCATTGATAAATCAAAATGAACAGAACTGTCGAAGTCGGAGAAGCAAACACGATAGGGATTATGCTGCGAAGGGCTGACATCCTGTGTTATGTACACGTAGTACAATGACATAAAACGAGTTTGAGGGTTTAGCTCAAGAAGCTTCTCAAAGTTTGCAATCACCAGTGGGTTCATAATTTCACAACGGGTGAGGAGCCTGAGGGATAATTCCGAAAATCGATCAGAGAGTGGCAACATGCCCGCTAACACTTCGAGACTCATCGTATGAGTCGAGTGCATGCATCCTAACGCGATACGAAGACAGCGATACTGGATCCGTTCCAGTTTGATGATGTGCGTTTTAGCCGCCGACTGGAAACAAAAACTACCGTACTCTAAAACCGATAAAATCGTTGTCCGGTACAACGTTAGAAGATCTTGCGGATGGGCTCCCCACCACGTTCCGGTAATTGTTCGGAGAAAATTGATCCTTTGTTGGCATTTCCGCTTCAGATACTCAATGTGGGATCTCCAGGTGCATTTGGAATCGAACCAGACCCCAAGATATTTGAAAGACATGGAATGAGTGATCGGCTTACCCAAAAGTTGAAGCTTCGGTTGTGCTGGGCTATGCTTCCTAGAAAAAACGACCAACTCAGTTTTCTCCGTGGAGAATTCGATACCTAGCTGGATAGCCCAAGTAGACAAATTGTCTAAGGTATCCTGTAAGGGTCCTTGCAGGTCGGCCTCTCTGGGTCCTGTCATAGACACTACTCCGTCATCTGCAAGTTGTCTCAACGTGCAGTTGTCCCTTAGACAATTGTCAATTTCTCTGACGTAGAAATTATACAGAAGGGGGCTTAAACATGAGCCCTGGGGGAGACCCATGTAGCTAAATCGTGAAGCTGTAGAGTTTCCATGAGAAAAGCTCATATGTTTCTCTGACAGCAAATTGTACAAAAAGTTATTAATTAATGGAGAAAGGCCACAAGCGTGGAGTTTGTCTGAAAGGACTTCAACCGATACTGAATCAAAAGCCCCCTTAATATCCAAGAAGACAGACGCCATTTGCTCTTTATTAGCAAAAGCCAACTGAATTTCAGTGGAAAGCAACGCGAGACAGTCGTTCGTTCCCTTGCCCCTACGGAAACCAAATTGAGTATCTGAGAGTAGGTGGTTCAACTCAACCCATTTGTCCAGGCGAAAAAGGATCATTTTCTCCAACAATTTTCGAATACACGATAACATCGCAATGGGACGATACGAATTGTGATCTGACGCGGGTTTTCCAGGCTTTTTAATGGCTATAACTCTCACCCGCC